CCCTACCCCCCCACCCCCCCCCCCCCCCACTACCCTACCACCCCACCACCCTACCACCCCACCACTGTCCTTGTGGAGGGAGGATGGTTAATAAGAATCCATCCTATCTGCTTGGATTTTAGTTTACAAACTCATATTTATGTTTTACTTTGCCCCCACAATGATCCAAGGATTCAATGATGGTTTGTTATCTTTTCTTGATTGATTAACTAGGCAGGCACAGATTAATACAGCAATTTGCTCTTGGCACAGAGACAGAGAACAGTGCAAGGACTAGAACGACGTATTCTTGCTCCCCATACTGTCCTCTTGTGCTACACGCCCCCCACAAAGTTCTCAGTTGCACCCTAGGTTTCTGCTCCCCCAGAACATGGGGCATGGCTGAATCCCCCAGGAAACAAAATTGTGCCACAGGCGTGCTGGGCACTCTAGAGAGACCTTGACAGCACAAACAGGCACAGACGTGAGATTCTCGTCTCCCAAGGACAGAGCTTTCAGCCAGGCTGAAAGCAGCCTAGCTTTTCTGGATGCACCATTGAAGTGAGGAAGGAAGGGAATATTAGGGTTTCTATTTAACTTTCCTTGAGACAGTGTCTCATGTAGCTCAGGTTGGCCTCAAACTCCCTACAGAGGAGCAGAGGATAACCTTGAACCCCCGATCTTCCTGCTATCACCCCTTAGTAGATATTGTAGGTGTGTGCCTACACACCTGGGTTTTTTTTTTTTTCTGTTTTTATGGGACTAGGGATTGAACTCAGGTTTCTGTGCTCATGCATGACAGGTAAGCACTTTACCAACTGAGCCATATACCTACCCAAGAATAAGTCTATTTTATTATTATTATTATTATTATTATTATTATTATTATTATTGAGACAATGTCCCACTATGTAACCTGGTGGCTTGGAACTTGCTGTGTAGACCAAGATGCTACTGGAATCACAGAAACCCAGTCACTCTGTCTCTTGAATGCTAGGATTAAAAGTGTATAACATAGTGCTCGGCCAAGAATTAGTTTTTGCTTTGTTTCTTAAATACCTCAGAAGTTTTTGCAGATTGGGTAGGAAAACACTTTTGGTTGAGGATTTATGAGGGTGGGATGGGTACCAGTTCCTTCCTAAACACAATAATGTCACGATCTTGGACTGCGGTGGCTTTCCTCACAGGCAGAGAGAGACTCTTTCAGGGTGTGAGATGGCCCTAGAATGAGGAGCAGCAGTGTGTGTGTGTGTGTGTGTGTGTGTGTGTGTATGTGTGTGTGTGTGTGTGTGTGTGTGTGGCCTGCCTGATGCTCACTCCCTGCTCCTTCCTCCCAGCGGTACTGCAGCGGCTGCGGAAGATCTACCATACGTCCATCAAGCCCTTGGAGCAGTCTTACAAGTACAATGAGCTGAGACAGCATGAGATCACAGGTACAACATCACGACCCTGAACTGGGCTCTGGCCCTTTACCCACGCACACCTCTCTGGTGTCCACGTAGGCTCACGAGATTCATGTGTGGTGTGTGCTAGGACTCCAGGAGGAGTGGAGGACAGGAACTCAGGCCTTGGAAGGGGCCTTTCCTAGAGCAGTGAGTGCTCAGTACTCTAAGAGGGTGACAGGTTTCATTGTCAAGCACTTTGTCTCAGCAGTAGGCATTTTATTTCCAGGTGTAAGGCCTGTGAGATCCCTCCTGGGCTCAAGGGCCACCAGGCTCCCTATTCACACGGGCCTCCATATGACCGTATTTCTCCTGCCTCCTTATTGCTCCTCTGGGAAGCCTCCTTTGGGCCTGGGTGATGACGGTGATGATTTTTTTGTGTATGTATGTTTTTGAGACAGGGTCTCACTATGTGGCCCTGGCTGTCCTGGAACTGTCTCTGTAGACCAGGCTGACCTCAAACTCACAGAGATCAGCTTTCCTCTGCCCTCCAAGTGCATGTGCCACCACACTTGGCTGCTGCTGTTGATTTCTGGGACAAAGTCTCACTACGTAGCTCATGCTGGTTTTGAACTTCGGAAGCTCCTGTCTTAGCTTTCTGAGAGCTGGCTTTACACACACGTCCTACTGCCCCCAGCATAGGACCTGGATTCTTTAAAACTTGGCTTTTAAAATGATAAAAGTAAGACATCCTTGTTTCAATTGTATTCAAATAATATGAAATAATTTATACTGAAACAAAGCCAGGCGTGATGGCATATAACTACAATCCTAGATTTGGGGGGGCAGAAGCAGGAGAATCATAACATTGTGGCCAGATCAGGCTACACAGTGAGTTCTGGGCTACTACATGGGAAGACCTGTCTCCAAAACATCACACACATACACACACACACTCTCTCTCTCTCTTTCTCTCTCTCTCTCTCTCTCTCTCTCTCTCTCTCTCTCTCTCTCTCTCTCTCTCTCTCTCTCTCTCTCTCTCACACACTCATATATACACTCACATACTCACACTCACATATACACTTACACACATACACATATACACTTACACACATACACATATACACTCACACACATACACATATACACTCACACACATACATTCACACACTCATACTGACATACACTCACATTCACACATATACATACACTCACAGACTCATACAGACATACACTCACATACACACATACATATGCACTCACACACTCATACAGACATACACTCACACACACATACACATACACATAGACACACACACTCACTCACACATACACATATACACTCACACACATACACTCACAGACTCATACAGACATACACTCACACACACATACACCTGCACATAGACACAAACACAGTTTCTTTCTTGATCTTCAATCTATCTAATTCCACTCCCGGAAACACCCACTCAGTTTCCTGTTATAGTGCTCAAGACTACAGGAAGTAATAGAATCTTCCAGACAATTACTCTCTATCTATGAGCATAGACATGCCTTTTTCTTCTTACATACACGGAATCATATTATACCAACTGTGCATACATGTGTGTTTATACATATATATGTGTGTGCATGCATGCATGACTCTCCATTATTCTTTATTGAGGATTTTTGGCCCTGTCTTCTAAGAACACACCAGGCTCTGTACAACTAGTATCTAATTTCCGACGGACAATAGGTGCTTATCCTGTTCTATTTTTTTTTTAAATGGGTCTAGTAGCTGTGAGTGGTGGCGCACACTTTTAGTCCCAGCACTCAGGAGGCAGAGGCAGGCGGATCTCTGTGAGTTTGAGGTCAGTCTGGACTACAGAGTGAGAGCAGGAGCTTAAAAAGTTATCCCTCCCCACACATGTGCGGCTAGTGAGGCGGCTCAGCAGGCAAAGGTACTTGTCTCTAAGCCTGATGCCTTGAGTTGTCCATATAGTAGAAGGAGAGAATCAGCCCCTGAAAGTTGTCCTCTGACCTTGTACACACACCACACTGTGCACACTTACACACATGCAAACATCATTATGTACACATCAGATAAATTAAAAAATGTAGTGCTCCAGGACTGGGCATGGTGGCTATGCCTGGACTTCCAGCACTGGGCAGGCGGAGGCAAGAGGATCGCTGAGCATTTAAAGCCAGTCTGGACTACAGGTGAATTCAGGCCACCCTCAGCTTTAGAGTGAGATGCTGTCTGGGAAAAACTGAAGTTAAAACATTTCAAACACTAGTATAATCACTGTTTTGTACATAGATATTTGTAGGGCATATTTTGTTTGCTTGCTCGCTTGTTTTTAAAATACTATAGTAGAGGGGCCAACAAGATGGCTCAGGGGGTAAAAGCACCTTCTTCCAGCCCTGATAACCTACAAGGTGGAAGGAGAGAACCAACTCCCACAATTTATCCTCTGGAACATCCCAGCTCCATAAATAAATGTTTAAAAAATTAATATGGAACATTATAATTGATTATTGTTGCAAATTCTCCTTGAAATAGTCTAATCTGTACTCACAGAACGTACCAGACAATTTGTGTTCCACCACAATTTGCCAGTTTTGAAAGTGTTACTCATTTTTGCCATGCTGGGGCTACACCTCAGACTCCAGACACGTTAAGGTGCCCCGTCACTGCGACTCCAGACACGCTAAGGTGTTCTGTCAGTCACTGAGACTCCAGACACGCTAAGGTGCCCTGTCACTGCGACTCCAGACACGCTAAGGTGCCCCGTCACTGTGACTCCAGACACGCTAAGGTGTTCTGTCAGTCACTGAGACTCCAGACATGCTAAGGTGCCCTGTCACTGTGACTCCAGACACACTAAGGTGCCCTGTCACTGCCCTATAGCCACAGCTAATCTTACTCCTGTTTTAAAGTTTTCATAATTGTTATTTTTTCTTTTTGGTTCTGGGGATGGAACCCAGGGCCTTGAACACCCTAGGCAAGTGCTTTACCACTGAGCCATAACCCCAACCCTTGTTTTAATTGTAATTGATATCACAAATCTCTCCCTGTGTTACTCGGCTGTGGTATCTGAGGGCATAGATAGCCCCGCTTTACAGAAAGGAACCTAATGCCAGGTGTGCTGGTTGCCCTGGCCGTGACGCTGCCGCCAGGACTGTGATTCTCTTTCTTTCCTCGGGGATTCTCTGTTCCGTCACTTCCGCCGTTCTCACAAGCCTGCGAGCCCGCGGTCCTCTTCTGCTTCTCGGAGGACATGCGGACCCTGGTATGAGGTCACGGAATCTCCCAGTGGCTTTCTTTTGTCCTCTGCATTTGCCTTCTCTCCCTGCTCTGACAGCAAGCACGGCATGGCCCTCCTGGGGAAACTCCAGACTTAAAGCCTCAGTGGCCAAGAGGTTGCCAACTGCCCCAGGACCGGTTCTCAGCAAAGGCCAATTGGCTCTTTTATGGCTTCCCTTTCTGGACTTGGCTTCTCCGCCCTAATCTCTTGCCAGCTTCCTGCATGACCCCTAACCTTCAAGCCTCCCACATATGTCCACGATGCCCCCTGCTGTGCAGAGTTGGACCAGCAGCACCCGGAAGCCCTGTCTGAGAACTCACTGGCTTTTTGAAAGTCTCTGTTACTGGACGGACCCCTATGGACCTGCACATCATCTTGTCCCCAGGCTGGAGGGCCTCTCATGTTTATTTGCAGGCAGGAGGGAAGGGACCAGGCCATGGATACGTGCTCACCACGCACAAGACACCATCTTCCAGGACTTTATTTACCTCAGAGAAACAAAAGCCATGCATCCAAAAGGGAGGCACAGAAGGACAATCATACTATATACTGTACAGAAACGATGACCTGGGATATCTAAAATATTGATTATACATACACATCAAGACAGTTGGGAAAATGCCAGCAGTTAGCAAGCAATGCTGCTCAGTGCAGTGGCAAAAGAGTCCAGATGCTCTGGAAGCTGAGGTAGGAGAATTACTGGATTCTTGAGCCCAGGACTTTGAGATCATCTGGGCAATATAACACAACCTTGTCTCAAAATAAAAAAAAAAAAAATAGAAAAAAAACCCCTAAGATTAGTTCCTACTAGAGAGGGTGTTAGGGCCCAGACAGAGTGGACCATTTTTACTTCAGACTTTGGAATCAAAACATTATACAGAATTACAGGAAATAAATGAAAAAGAAGTTTAAAAAGGAGGCCTGCATTTTGAGGACTATTTGCAGATTCAGGAAGGCCAAAGTCTGGAGAATGCAGGTGTGCAGTAGACCCATTCAGAAAAGAACCGAGAGGAGCAGAGTCAACAATAAGACAAACCATTTCTCTGTCCAAAGGTCCTCACCCTCTATTTTGCCCCCATTTGTTTTTATTTTATGTTTGCAGTACTAGGGATTGAACCTGGGCCTCACACGTGCTATGCAAATGCTCTGCCCCTGAGCTCCCTCCAAACCCCCATCCCTGTTTTTGAAAACACTAAAGAATTCCGTTTTCTCCCAGCTGAGTAGCCTTGGTAGGGTGTGCTTCCCAGCATGGCGTCAGGGAGGACCTTGGTCTCAGCGCCGAAGTATTTAAGAATCCTAGTTTTTAGTGCTTGGTTTCAGACCCTGGAAGGCTTATCGTGAACTTTGGAGCAGGATATCTGAGATTAGAATATTTGAGCTTGAGGTGGGGATTTGGGGAGCCACAGTGGAGAGGAGGGGAAGCTGCAGAGCCTGGAGGGTGGATGGAGCTCACTGTGCATGCCTCTTCCATGTCCTTCTTCTCTTGTTCCTGGTCTGCGGAGCAAAATCCAGTCTTTCTCAGTGTGAAGCTCCGCCCTTTGTATGACCCATTCGTCTCTAGATTTAGGCAGGAGACTGCACCCAGCGCGAGCACTGAGCCAATATGTATTAATCTGCTTGGCTCTTCCTTCTGGTGCAGGCAGATGTGCCAAGGATCTGGAAAAGGTCAAAATGCTCCTGGTGTCTTTTGAGCAAATGTTCTCGTAAAGCAAGAAAGTCACTGACCGCTGCCCAGCTTGATCCACAGGGAACCCCGAGCAGCTGGAAGACAGTGGGGTGCAGGGTGCTTTGGGGAGCAGGGCTGCTCCTACAGTAAGGACTGATGCCAGCTCACTTCTATTTCTAACTCTTGCTGTTGTAGATGGAGAGATCACCTCCAAGCCAATGGTGCTGTTCCTGGGACCGTGGAGCGTTGGCAAATCCACCATGATAAACTACCTCCTTGGGTTAGAAGAAACTCGCTACCAGCTTTATACAGGTGAGAATCTGGTGGAGGGAGTGATTAAATTGTTAAAGCAGATGAATAATCAAAGCACTTGTATGCCCTTAATAATATGAACGAAAATGACCTGCAAGAACCAGCAGTTCTTTCACCTCCATGGCAGCATTATTCATAAAAGTCCCAAAGTAGAAACAACTCCTGTCCACTGTTGGACGAAGGAATAACCAGACTGTAGCCCGTGCAGCCAGGGGAGCGCTAGCTGAGAGAGGGATGCTGCATGGCCGGGGACACAGCGCAGTGGATAAAGCGCTTGCTGTGCAAGCCTGATGATTTGATGTCAGGTCCCTAGGATCCAAGAAAAAGTCAGGTAGAGGCTGGGCGGGGTGGCACTCGGGAGGCAGAGGCAGGTAGATCTCTGAGTTTGAGGTCAGCCTGGTCTACAAAGGCTCCAAAGCTACAGAGAAACCCTATCTTGGAAAAAAAAAAGGCCCAGCTGAGTAGCACATGTGTCTGTGATTGCAGTTCTTCTATAGGGAGATTGAAATAGGAGATAGGAGAACCTCTGAAAGCCTGGAGGTCAGCTAACCTGGCCTGTGCAGCAGTGTACAAGAGATAAGGTAGAAGGTGATAGTACTCACAGTTGTCTGCCTTCTGACCTCCACCCTTATGCCATGGCAGGTGCATGCAACACACACACACACATACATGTGCCCACACAATGTGCGCATGCACATACACATAAGCACACATACATGCACGCACACACGCATGTGCATACAATACACATGAACACAGACAGAAAGGAATGAAGCATGCATGCTGTCAGAACACATCGGATACATCCTTGCCACAATATGAATAAATCTTGAAAATGTGCTAAATAAAACAAGCCAGGCACAGTAGCACAGATACTGTATGATTCTACTCACATGAGGTGCCACAACAGGACAAATCAGAGGCAGAGAAAGAATAGAGGTTGCCAAGGAAGGAGAAGGGAGTTACTACCTAGTGGAAACAAGAGTTTCAGTGTGGGAAGATGATAACTGTTTTGTAAAGTGAGGATAACTAACTGGTCGCATGATAATGTGAATATATTTAATGCTATCGAACTATAGGTTTAAAGGTTAAAATGCAAATATTATGTTCTGTATATTGTATTTTGGCACAATCAGAAAGTGAGAAGGCAGGAACCTAGCACACCTGTCCTGTCCTTTCCAAGACGTCTTCCTGTGCACACCCCTTCCAGAAGTCTGTTTCTCACTGGTTGCTTTTCCACCTCTCACCGTGGATGCAGGTGCTGAACCTACCACCTCCGAGTTCACCGTCCTTATGCACGGGCCCAAGCTGAAAACCATTGAGGGCATCGTCATGGCTGCTGACAGCGCCCGATCCTTCTCACCCCTCGAAAAGTTTGGCCAGAATTTTCTGGAGAAGTTGATTGGCATCGAGGTTCCCCACAAACTTCTAGAACGAGTCACTTTTGTAGATACACCAGGCATCATTGAGAACCGCAAACAACAGGAAAGAGGTAATTTATGGGCCTGGAGATGTGCTCAGAGTGAGATACTTGCCCTGAAAGCATGGGGACCTGAATTCACACCCTTACCACCCATGTAAAAAGTGAGGCATGGCTGTGGTGGCACACACCTTTAATCCCAGTACTTGGGAGGCAGATGCAGGTTGGATCTCTGTGAGTTCCAGCCCAGCCTGGACTACAGAGTGAGTTCCAGGCCAGTCAGAGCTGTTACACAGAGAAACCCTGACTCAGAAAAACCAAAAAAGTGAGGCATGGTTACCTGTGCCTTCAACGCCAGTGTTGCAGGGTGGGCATCGTTGGATCCCTGAATCCTGGAACTCTGTGGCCAAGCCAGCCTAGCCAAAATGAGAGGCCTTGTCTTAAAGAAATAGGACAGAAAGTAGTCCTCCTCCTCTCAATGTATACACACTTGTGGGCACACTCACTTTCACACACACACACACACACACACACACACTTCTGGACAGCAAGAGCTCTGTCTTAGGACACTGAGCAGCAGAGGGTGGCAGGCCAGCAGAGGAACAGGGTGGTTAATGTTCAAGATGAAGAGATGCTCTTCACCTCCACCCCTTCTCACTGTTGCTGTGGTAACCACTTGGGAACTCAAGTGTCGTGTTCTCTGCCTCCTAACGGGCTGCCTGATTTGGAGACGGTCAGTAGCTTCCTAGGGGGAGTACTGGTCTTCCCTGTAAGATTCTGGAGATGTCCAAGCTGGGGACTAGCTGTCTTTGGGTTCCCAGTCTACCCTGAATAGTGGAAGGCCTAGACTAATTGTATCCCAGTGATTTATACTTGAATTCGCTAACCTGGGTCTTGGGCATGGGCTTATTCTGTTGAACATGATCTACATCTTTTCTTACTCCCAACACCTGCTTTGTTGGGCCTGCTTTAATCTAAACCTTTATTATCTAAACCCAGCCCCTGCCTTCCTCAGACGCAGGGCATTGCTATTTGGGCCTGGTAAGCATTAGGCTGTATCATAGGGCATTGAATACTGACATGGCACAGGGCTATCTGCACTGATGTGTCCTAACCAGGGCAGTCATAGTAATAGGTGATCAAATGGCAAATCTCAGTTTATGGTTATGACGCATTTGGGTTATAACTGTGTAGGTGGAGTTTTTTGTAGGGACTTCTGACTCCCCAATAAATGCTCAGAGACTTATCATTAATTATAAATGCTCAGCTGATAGCTTAGGTGTGTTACTAACTCTTTTTAAATTAACCCATATTTCTTATCTACGCTCTACCATGTGGCAGTATCTTTTTCAGCACGGCATATTCATCTGGCTTCTTCCACATCTGTCTGGTGACTTTGCTCCCTTCTTCCTTGCACTCTCTTTTTGTCTGCAAGTCCCCCCTACCCTTTCCTTGCCTAGCTATTGGGCAGTTAGCTTTCCATTAACCAATGAGAAGAATTCATAGTCATAGAGAACAAAAAGATTGTTCCACAGCATAACTGAACCCTGATTTATTGGCAATAATATAATTTAGTTATATAATCATATTAGGCCGTACTATAAATCAGATAGCTTTATATATTGGCACCAACTCCTGTGGTGTAATGGTTAACGCTATGGACTCTGAATCCAGCGACCTGAGTTTGTATCTCAGTGGAACCTGTTCCTTTAGGAAGAGACCTGGTCCGTTGTTTTCATCAACTCTGACCATGAAACCCAATATAAGTGGGCTGCCCATGCTGCTTCAGCACTGCTGGGGGCATGTTTCACTTCACTTAGCTCTATACATTATTTTATTGGTTAAAAAAAATTAGTGTTTTTGAAACTCTTTGTATTAGTCATGGTTCTTTGGAGAAACAGAACTTACAGAATGAATCTAATTATCTCTCTATCTATCTATCACCTCTATATACAATAGATATGTCATATTGCTCTCTATCTATCTCTACATATAGATATAAAGGAAATTTATTAGAATGGATTATAAGTAACTGTTGTCTACTAACAGAAAATCCAAGAATCCAGTAGTTTTTCAGTCTGCTGGGCAGGATGTCTCAGCTGGTCTTCAGTACTGCTGGACTCCTGGAGAAGTTGGCTCTAATGCCAGTGAAGGCATGAACTTGGCAGTGAACTGGAGGGCAAGCAGGCAAAGAGAGAAAACTTCCTTCTTCTGTGTCCTTTTTATAGGCTACCAGCAGAAGGTGTGGTCAGATTAGAGGTGGCTGTTCCCAACTCAAAAGATCAGATTAAAAGTGGGTCTTCCCACTTCAAATGATCCAATTAAGAAAAGTCCCTCACAGTTCATTCCCTATGTAGTCAAGTTGACCAACCAAGAAGAGCCACCGCAGTGGTGTTCCTTGTCATCTTGTTTTGTAAATAAGAACACAGCAGGTAAGAAGAATTACTATATAGCAAGCCCCTGTGTGGCTGCAGATTTAAGCTGCGTCTTTCCTGTCTGAAGCACAGTAGTTTTTCCATCCTGTCTGTCTCCCTTATTATTTTTATTTGTTTTTGAGACAGATCTGGCTGTTCTGGAGCTTGCTATGACAATCAGGCTGGCCTTACAGAGATCCTCTTGCTTCTGCCTCCTGAGTGCTGGGACTAAATGCATGCGCCAATACATCCAGCCTAACACGGTAGTCTTTAAGTTAGCTTTAGTATTACTGTTCTTTTTGTAATTTTTATAGCTTATGACCTAGAATTTAAGAGCAGTGAGCATCCAGCTGGTCTGTCACTAGCCCAGGTCTCGGCGGACACTCACCCACATTTTGTCTCCTGCAGTCACACATCCCCTTCCTTCTGACTTCTGGATAGTTCTTTCAACATCTTTGCCATTGTCCTAGATCCTTTTAGACATTTGGAAAACCACTTGCTTTTTTTCTTTGAAAATTTTTATTACTTTTTAGCTGGACGATGGTGGAGCACACCTTTAATCTCAGCCTTCAGGAGGCAGAGGCAGGTAAATCTCTGAGTTCAAGGCCAGCCTTGTCTAAGTATGAGTTCCAGGACAGCCAGGGCTATACAGAAAAACCCTGTCTCAAAAAACCCTTACCAGAAATAAAATAAAACAAATGTCTTATGTGTATGGGTGTTTTACCTGCATGTATGTCTGGACCATACGCATGCCTGGTACCCACGGAGGCCAGAAGAGGAAGTTGGCTCCTCTGAGACTCAAGTTAGACAGTAGTGAGTGGCATGTGGGTGCTAGGGACAGAACCTGGGTCCTCAGAAAGGGCAGCCAGTGCTCTTAACCAATGAGACATCTCTCTAGCTCTGTTTTTTCTTTTTGTTGCTGCTTTTGTTTTTGAAACAGTGTCTCATTATATGGCTCAGCCTGGCCTTGAACTGAAGATCCTCCTGCCTCTGCTTCCCAGAATGATGGGATTGCAGGAGTGCACTACCACACACTGCATTAAAGAGCTCCACTTTGGACAAATACTTCACTTCACCAGGGATTCAGAGCCACTGTATATTAAAGCATGGGTCAGACTGCTCTTGATGAAAGGTTGACAAAAAGCATGAGACAACACTCACTGGTCTCTAGACATCCAGGAGATTGCCAGGGCTTGACTCTGCTCAGGGAGGTGCAAAGGGCTTTGTGTGTGTCCCACTCAGGTTGACTTCTTGTTCCTGTCCCCCAAGGCTACCCCTTCAACGACGTGTGTCAGTGGTTCATCGACAGAGCCGACCTCATCTTTGTTGTCTTTGATCCCACCAAGCTGGACGTGGGCCTGGAGCTGGAGACGCTCTTCCGCCAGCTGAAGGGACGGGAGTCCCAGATAAGGATCATTCTGAACAAGGCCGACAACCTGGCCACGCAAATGCTCATGCGGGTGTACGGAGCTCTTTTCTGGAGCCTGGCCCCGCTCATCAACGTCACAGAGCCTCCACGGGTTTATGTCAGCTCCTTCTGGCCACAGGACTATAAGCCCGACACCCACCGGGAGCTGTTCCTCAAAGAGGAGATCTCTCTGCTGGAAGACCTGAACCAGGTGATTGAGAACAGGTTAGAGAACAAGATTGCTTTTATTCGCCAGCATGCCATCCGCGTCCGCATCCATGCCCTTCTAGTTGACCGCTATCTACAGACTTACAAGGACAAAATGACCTTCTTCAGTGATGGGGAACTGGTTTTTAAGGACATTGTGGAAGATCCTGATAAATTCTACATTTTCAAGACCATCCTGGCAAAGACCAACGTCAGCAAGTTTGACCTTCCCAACCGTGAGGCCTACAAGGACTTCTTTGGCATCAACCCCATTTCCAATTTCAAACTCCTCTCTCAGCAGTGCTCTTACATGGGGGGTTGCTTCCTGGAGAAGATTGAACGGGCCATCACCCAGGAGCTCCCCGGCCTTCTGGGGAGCCTGGGGCTTGGGAAGAACCCAGGTGCTCCTAACTGTGACAAAACAGGTTGCGGCGAGGCCCCAAAGAATCGCTATAAAAAGCACTAGGTCATGTTCAGCCATTCTCGGGGCCCCATGGGTGAATGAGCTTGTGTCCTAACCGTCTGAGAAGTCCCGGTTTTAGCCCTTTGAGCCATACTGGTGACAATCAGTCTGAATTGGAGATTTGGGAGTTCATTGAGGCCGGTGAATCAGGGAAGGAACAAGGGAGGAGAGTGGAAACTGTGAATTATAGTCTGCTTGTCTTATTGCTTCAGTTAGAAGGCCTGGCACAGGCTAGTCAGGCTTCCCTTGTTTTTCCTGGGTCATGTCTTGGAGGGACAGAGAGCAGCTAACTCCTAATGAATACTAAAATACTGAGGGTCAGATAAGCTAAACTCAGCTGAAGTTTCCCAAGCAACAGAGGGTTCTCAGGTCCAGTGTCAACTCCTTTCACACAAATCTTCTGTCCGTTCCCATCTCCTCAGCTCCCTCCTAAGTTTGGGTGGATTTCCAGCAGTGGACAGTCTCTGAGTCTGGTCTTCATGGACTTGGAACCCAGCCTTGGAATCTTCTTCCTGTCTTCCCAATGGGTAGGGCATCCAGGACACTAAAAGTTTTCAGATTAGTGTTGGCTGGCCTCTCCAGGTATCATTTCATTGATGTCTCAGTTGGAGAGCTCAGCTCAGTTGGCCCCAGAATGAGGGTGACTGAGTGACGAACTCAAGTACTCTTCCTCCTGGAAGTGACTTACATGAAGGGCTCAGGGCTTAGTTGGTTTGCAGTGTGTCTTTGTCTGTTGCATGTCTTGGAAAACTCAGATCACAAAGGTGTTGATTTCAGAAAGGACATGGTGACCTTGCTCCTTCCTGGTCCTTGGAGGTTTCTCTGGACAGTCCCCTCTCCCAAGTTTCAGAGGAAACTGTTTCTACAACTTCTTTGTGGGAGCACTTGACAGAGGACATGTCTCCTCTGGTTTCCAGAAGTGTGGCTTCTCCTTCCCTTCTCCATTCCCCGATGCACCAACATTTCCCTTTGAGAGAAATTCCCTAGACTCAGAACCAGCCCCAGCCCCGTGGCATTGGTGGCAGACAAGGCCTGAGGTTCAGATCCAACCTGAACTTCTGCAGATGTCCACTGAGTGCAGTCAGGACCGTCACACTGTGTGTCCACTGTACAAGAGAGAGCTAGGACAATGACAGACTCGAGGGCACAGAGAGAAGACTCCTGAGAGTCGTGCATGGCAGAATACGCTGCCACCTTGGAGCGCATGGGGGCATGAAGCCTTGGGAGGATGAAGAGCTTTTGGATAGAGCAGGTCAGGTGAAGGTCAGACTGTCTTGAGGGCTTCCTTTGAGCACAGCTGGCTGCGTTTTTTTGGGGGGAGCAAGCTGTCTTTGCTTTTGCCTTGACTTTGAGGCATGGGTTGGGATCCACCAGTACCAGTGAGTCATCTGGAGCAGAAGGAAAGTGGGAAGGAAGGTTGAGCCAGAGCTGTTCCTTCTGAGGATCAGGTAGGGAGTAGAAGCAGATGGGTACGCGGTAGGGCTACATAGAGAACTTCAGTTTAGGAGTTCATGTCTTTGAGCACTTAGTCTGGCGCCAACTGGGAGGGAGGGGAGCTGCTGCCTTGGCTTCCCACAAGTCACACGTCCCAAAGCTGCCAGGACACTGTTCCTTCCATAGGGTCATGCATGGTGCCTAGTGGCTCGGGCAGATGAGCTGCAGTCTACCTTTTCCTCTTAAAATATGCATCCAAGCCCAAAGCTCCTCTCATCTCTCCAGTACTTATTCTCTGGAGAGACTGTCCCACCCACCTTTCCCCTTCATGCTCCTCATGCCTGAGGGCTTTGTGTAGCAACTCTGCTTTCCCTCAGTGCAGTCGAGGAGCTGTCCTAGCTGTCAGGGCCTGCATGCTTGGTGGGGAGCAGGTGAGCCGAGGCAAACACAGTCATCCAGTATTGGTGTTGGGGGAGGGGCATTTTATCGGGGTCACTGTCCTTCTGGGTTTTCCTCCATCTTTTTCTTCTTTGTCTCCATTCTGCTGCCCTCCTCCCTGCCCGCGCCCACCCAGTTCACTTTCCTCTCCTGCCCACGGGCTGCTGATGAGCCAGCACAGGGGTTAGCACCCATCTGTGCCCAGCTCTGCAGAGATGGATTCTGAGTAGGATTCTGACTCTAGGAGGAGATTCCTGAGTGGAATATCCGTGTAGGTGCTGGGACAGTGGCTGACCTTTCCTGTCTTCTTCCCATCCTGGCTTCGTCAGGGAGGGCGTCTCAATAAAGTTCCAATCTCTCTTCAACACCTTGTCCCTCTCGATTGTGTCCAGCCAGGTGAATCTCTTAGCTTCCTTTTACCCAGCAGAGTAGACTCATTTTCAAGTTTCTGGGGGATAGCTTGGAAATTTATAAACGTCTGCCCTTGTTTTGCATGTGTGCTGGTACCTCTTTTGGTGGTTTCTCTAGCACCAAGCCTCCTGGTGCGGAAGATAACTCATTCACAGCCAGCAGTGAAGACGTCAAAGCCCACTGTTGTATGGCAGGAAACACAAAGAACCTTCCCCTCTGCAGCACCTCACTTCATTATTTCTGACACCCAGAGTAGTGTCCCGTTTGAAAAGGGATCACTGGAAGTTTCTATCCCCAGGTCCTTCACCGAGCAGCTCAGATAGTGATAGCAGTAGGTGCATCTCCTCTACCTGACAGCTACCTCATGATCTCTCCAGCTGTGATGGAGTACGGCCTGTCAGAATGGTAAGGGGCCGCCTTCCTCTAGCTCTCCCAGAAATTGACCATCCCTCTACATGTGTGGACATGTGTATGTTGAACACGTCCCAACTTCCTGAGCCAGTAATCACTCCACATTTCACTGTTTTCTGTGTCCTGATCAGAGCAGAGTTCCTTTAATTTGGAAGCTTTCTGCTCTGGGATCCTCCCAGGAGGTTTCATGCCATGGTGTAAGAGCGAGCTTGAAAGGGAAAGATGGGGGCCCCGGGGAAGAGGTGGAAGGTTGGAAAGAATCCAAAAGGGAGATCAGGGCCACAAACCTAGGTCACACCCATAGTTATGTCAGTGGCCAAGGCCAATGTTTCTGGGTTCTCTGGCTTAGGAGGGGTTAATCCTTGGGCTACACAAGTGGGCCATGTTCTCCCATCCTCATGTGATCTTGGACATCTTTGAACAAGTGAGCACCCTGACCTGCTCACCTGCTGCAGCCCGAGCACCGTGACCTGCTTACCCGCTGCAGCCCGAGCACCCTGACCTGCTCACCCGCTGCAGCCCGAGCACCCTGACCTGCTCACCCGCTGCAGCCCGAGCACCCTGACCTGCTCACCCGCTGCAGCCCGAGCACCCTGACCTGCTCACCCGCTGCAGCCCGAGCACCCTGACCTGCTCACCCGCTGCAGTCCGAGCACCCTGACCTGCTCATCTGCTGCAGCCTGGATCCTTTCTTGCCTAGGCCAGAAATACAGAGCTTTGCCCTGGAAAAGGGAGGGCAAGCAGAAATACACGTTCTGCCTCACATTTTCTGTTCCACAGCTCAGTGTTGCCATTATATGGGAGTTGAGAAAGAAACAGAAAGCAGAGAGGGCAGAACCGAAGGCCATTCAAAACACAGCCAGGAAAAGTGAGGGATGGGAATGGAAAGAGCATTTGTAAGGACACATGTAGATGTTTTCTAACGTGTGCTTACATATATCAGGGACACGAAAACATTCACGTGAAATCTGAGGGAGTGGAGGACAGGTGGAGATGTATGCTTTTGTGGCCAAAAGACGCCCAAGTATCCAGGACAGTGTTGGGTACACTTCACTTTTATGCTACTGGAATGAATAAAGAGATGCTGGAGGAGGTGACTCGTGTGTGTGTGTGTGTGTGTGTGTGTGTGTATGTGTGTGTGTGAACGTGCGTGTGTGCATGAACCTTGATGGTTCACCCAGGAAGAGGCATTCAAGGGACACCACCCTGTCAGCCCCTGGCTTCGCAGGAGTGTCTTAGCCTTAGAAACCTCACAGGAACTGACAGTACTTGATGCCAATTCCCCCTCGGTGACATGAAGCTTGGGCTTTTCCTAATACAAAGAAATTGTTCTCTAGAAGATCATAAAGGCAATAAGGAGGAGGCAACGGAAAATAAATTGCCTAGTGGCTGGCACTGTATACAGGAAGGGTTTATCCAGCAGGTTGTGCCCACCTCCTGTCCTAAGGATAAACTCTCAAGCACAAAGGAACTTTTCCCACACCTGCTTACACTCTGGGACGTGGGTTGTTTACCTACAATGTGTAGAGAATCCAAAGTGAGGACTGACCACTAGGAAAAGGATGTTTCTAGAGTATTTCCTTTGTGCCAGGAACTGGGCTTCAGCCCTATGGGCAAAGCACCCTTACGTCTAACGAAGGCGGGCTAATCACACTATCTGCGCTGGGGCTATGGGCTAATCACACTACCTGCGCTGGAGACGTGGGCTAATCACACTACCTGCGCTGGAGACATGGGCTAATCACACTATCTGCGCTGGGGCTATGCCGCGTCTTTATGTGCGCTGTTTAATTTAATCCTCACAACCCTGTAGTGAGGTCGCTGCTAGCAGAGTTCAGAACACGGAGAGCTCAGAACGCTACAGAATCCCAGTGCCTGGAATTGACCCTGGGCTTGCTACAAGATGGCTTTGGGCAAATGACTAAAGTGTATTTCAGTTCCCTTACTCATAAAACGGAGACAGTTCCTCCCTTACGGGGTTGTGGTAGGGAATGAACGGCTCAGTACAAGCAATGTGCTGGACTTGACATATGACACAACCCGCAGACAGTGCTCAGCAAACCTCAGCCACTATTGCTAACATCAGTCATTCTACCGATGAGACTGACAGTCAGAGCGGCCAGGGTGGAGGCATGTGGACATGGGAGAGCTGGAATACCACCCAGTACCCGGCTCCCTGCACGGGCAGGCTAGGTTATTTGCTTAGGGCCACGTTATGTAACACTGACTTTCTAAGAAGATTTGCTTGATGAGTCTTTGAGTGCTCATTCAGTACTTTAAGTCTTTTTATTTTTAAATTTATTTATTTATTGTTTGGTGTGTGTGTATGTATGTGTATATGCATGTGTGTATGTATATGCATGTTCATGCATGCATGTGGCGGTCAGAGGAAAAGTTTTGAGAGTCTGTTCTTTTCTCCTACCACCTGGGTTCCAAGGACTGACTCAGGCTAGCAGGCCAGCATACAGGTATCCCTACCGGCTGAACCAGCTTGACATACCAACTATATTCTTCACTTCTTTTAAATTATTACTGAAAACAGATTTTTATACAATGTATTGACGACAGTTCCCCTCCCCCAACTCTTCCTAGATCTTCCCCACCCACCCAAATACACACCCTTTCATTCCTCTATCTCATTAGAAACAGACGAGCACCTAAAAATGATAAGGTAAAATAAAAACAGAAAAACCAGAACAGGAGAGAACAAGCAAACAGAAATCAAGAAACATATATTAGAAAAAGAGCTGGGTGTGGTAGCCCATGCCTTTAGCCACAGCACTTGGGAGACAGACAGGCAGTCAGATCTCTGTGAGTTCGAGGCTAGGATAGCCAGAGTTATTTGAGTTCCAGGACAGCCAGTGCTGTTACACAGAGAAACCCTGTCTCAAAAACAAAAACAAGACAAAACAAGACATACACAAACACACACACACACACAAGGAAAGAAAGAAAAGGATCTTTTTTTTTTTTTTTTTGGTTTTTCGAGACAGGATTTCTCTGTGGTTTTGGAGCCTGTCCTGGAACTAGCTCTTGTAGACCAGGCTGGTCTTGAACTCACAGAGATCCGCCTGCCTCTGCCTCCCAAGTGCGGGGATTAAAGGCATGCGCCACCACCGCCCGGCTAGAAAAGGATCTTTTTGAGACAGAATCTCACTAAGTAGCTCAGGCTGACCTTGAACTTGTTATGTAGCCTAGTCTGTCCTCAAACTCGAGGTCCTCCTGCCTCAGCTTCCCAAGTGGTGGGATTATAGGTGTGTGCCACCAGGTTCAGCTCTATTATTGCCTTATCAACACTGATTTGTGCTGACCTGGATCCCAAACCCTTGGAATACAGTATATATTTTTCAAATACCAATAAAGGTGATTTTGAGCTGGGTGTGGTGGTTTGTGCCCAGAAGCCCAGCATCCAGGAAATTATAGTTCGAGACTTTCAAAAACAAACATACCATAAGCAAAACCAAAACAGAAGATGGTTTTTTAGGAGCATGAAACATTTGTTATATTTTCACTTATTTTAGTGCTAGTAATTTTCTCAACATTATTTCAAACAATCTGGAAGTTTTTCAGAATTATAAGGTATAATTTCTGTCTTGGGGAAGTGGCTACCTAGTGGGGGATCCGAGGCACAGGAGGGGCAGTGATTAGGGAAGTCTTCATGACTAAGACGACATTTTCCAAATTGCTTTATTAGACACAAAGTCTGACCCAAGATTTTCTTACCTGTTTGTTTCAAGATGAGGCCTTGCTATGTTATCAGGCTGGTCTGGGACACCTGGATTAAAGTAGTTTTCCTGTCTTAGTTTTCAAATGCTTTTCCTTCTCATTTGTGAAGAATCAATGAATTGAAACTGTTAAATGTTTGAACAGTAGTGTAATCAGGATTCTTCAGAGATGGCCAGAACACCAGAAAGGGTGATCGAGCTTGAGATAGTGCAATTGTAGCTACTCTTTGAAGGCTGGACAGGGTTGGCAGGTCAGCAATGAGGGAGAGAGATGTGGGGAGGATGAGGGATTACACTCACAGGTGAGTCCTTGTATGGCAAAGATGACAGGAATCAAGGACAGAATCAAGGTGAGGGGTCTAGGCTCCCTCAGCTGCTGAGCAGAGAACAGCACGCAGAACCGGAAGACCAGCCAGCAACTGCACTGCCTGCTCGTGGATCTGCTGGGTGGGGTGTGCTGGGCTCTATCTTCCCACTCCTCAGAGCTGGGAACATGAAGGAGAAACCCCGTCCGTCAGCATGGCCCTGTGTGGCAGCCCCAGTAACCCTCTAACCCACATAGTCCATGTCTCTTTTCTGATTCCTTGTGACATTTAGGACATCCCATCTCGGGAAGTCAGTTAAGAGGTGGCAGTGTTTGCAAGGACAAGGGTAAGATGTTCTGGTGCTCCTGCAGCCTGTGAGGACACAGGACTACGTCGGCCCTCGACCTCCCCAGGGCAGGGAACGCTCGGGTGGCAGCCGGGATCCTCGCTGTGGCCACATCAGGTTCCTCTTCTTAAGACTGCCGGGAAATGCTGGCTGTACCTGCCCTTGCCTCCTTCCCCAAGTTGCCTCCTGAGCTTTGTGAAGAAAGGGGGCCAGTTCTGAACCAGGGTTCTGACAGTGGGGGAAGT